ACTGCTTGCGGTTTCGGGGGGGTAGCCTCCCTACCGGCAGGCTATGAAACAGAAGATCGACTTGTTAGATGTGGTGAAACTGCTTGCGGTTTCGGGGGGGGGGCGCTGCGCCCTCCCCCCCGAGCCCCCCCTCCCGCTCTTTTTTTTCTATACCGTTATGCGGACCGCTGCCGAGGATGCTGTGGCGGTTGTCATTTTGGTTGAAGCAGGCAGGCTGCAAAACTGAAGGACGTGCATGCTGCAGGATCATGTTGTGATGTTGCGTGCTGCTGCGCCCCCCCCGCCCGCGCTTGGACCGCGGAAAACTGCTAGATGTCCATGCTGAGAAGGAAGCTCGACTTGTGAGATGCGGTGAGCCTGCTTGCGGCTTCGGGGGAGAGGCGCTGTGCCCTCCCCAAAGCAGCGCTCGCATCAGCTCTTGCATACGGCGACGGAAAGAAGCTGTCGCAGAAAACACCGGTCAAACAAGCTGTCGCAGAAAACACCGGTCAACCGTTGCAAAAAACACCGGGCACCGTCGCAAAAAACACCGGGTGGCGGTCACTGACGCAAAAAACACCGGTCACAGCTTGGAAAAACACCATACAACATAACTGTCTGGAAATACCCTGATTACTGTTGCAATTTACCCTAGTCCCCCAGAAACACCAAGAAAGGAACAACAGACTGAAGGAAGCAACATCGTGTGTTGAGTGTTGCTCCAGAGAAAACATATGCGGCACTGCTTCTGCGGCTGTTTGCCGTTTTGTTTGCAGTTTTCTGCATGTGACGTTTTGCCAGGGCGCACACCGCCGGTGTTACGTCGTTTTCTGGTTTGACCGCATATGGAGACTCATGAACCACCTGAAATGAAGGCTGAACGAGGTATTGTGGGAATAACTCGAGTGCAGAATGCCCACGGCGCCACGTGGGCCTCCCATTGGGCGTGCAGCTCCACATCTTCCTCTGCGGTGCATTGTGACGCCAAGGCAGTTGTCACGTGGCTCCGGGCCCTTAGTCGCGGCAGGGAGGGAGGGAGAGAGAGAGAGAGAGAGTTACAGTAGTTAGAGTTAGACATGAAGAGGGGATTGATGGTGGGTTTCATGATGTTGTTTCGCAGTAAGCATAGATATGTATGTATATATATATATATACATATGCTTGTGCAAGTCCAGTCTATCACAGTCTATATATATATATATTACAGTCATGCTCCGAAACAGACATGAAGACACACGCAACAAAACGACGTGTGGTGGGCCATGCGGGACACGTTGGGACACTGGAGGTTTTCAATGCCATTGGCCCTGAAATCCGCACGTCGCTCCAAAGGCCCTGAGGCTGGCAGTTGGTGCAGGCGCTGTTAGAATCGATGGTGCGCCGCGCAGGAAGCGCAACGGGCGAGCGCACCACGAAGCGAAGCACGTCCCATCTGTTCAGACCCATGGCGGGGGGCATACAGAAGACCCATGCAACACCTGCGTGGCGGCGATGTCCAATGAGATTCCCAAAAGTTGTTGCAATCAACACATTCAATAAGAAAACGATGGCAACCACCAGCCATCACTCTCAACAACCCATCGCTGCCGCAAAGAACCAAAAACCTTAAACGTTGTTTTTGAGTGTTGGCTCTCGTTGCTGAAACCGCCCTGAAACCGCCAAAAATCGCCAAACACCTGCCTTTTTCTCTCAAACTCGCCAGGAGATCAATCGACAACTCCTCCGAGCACCGGCAGCATTGGTCTCATCCGAACGAAACAGCGAGGGTTCGACCTCGCCCGGACGCCCTGGGGGAGCAAAAGGCCAGCTGGGGTACGTGGGCGGGGTATGCGTACGTTGTTTCTTGGGAGGAAACAAAAAGTTCGACCGAAGAATAGAGTGAGCTGACTAGTGAGCTGGTAAGCTATGATTTCTTTAAAATGATTTTTCGTCTCTTAGAAGAGTCATGAAAAATGTGTGATGAGACAAACAGGCTAGTGTCAAAAGGTGATACGACCATGCATGTTTAGCATGTCAGAACTATCAGTGGGCGCATGAATCAAGTAGAACTCATCACGCATCAATTCAGTGGAACCAATTTCATGCGACACTCATGGGCGACCCCTGGTGCTTCGACGACCCCTGGTGCTTCGGGGAAGCACCGGGTTTTTCGCCCACGAGCCACAGAGATGGACGGCTTCTCCGATATGTATGAGATCCTTTCCCATGTGTTCGAAGCAAATGAGAACGAAGTTGAGAACTACAGTATTTAAAAAATATAGCGTCGGAATGCATTCTCCCTTGCACCTGCGGAGAAACTGCGTGTTGAATAGCTTCCGTGAGACCTGAACAGTTTGATTCTTGGAAGGTGTAGTCTCGTCCACAACAATGCACGGCATTGTTCTTTTGCCCCAGCTGGCCGGGCAACTCCCATATCCATCGGAACTGCTTTGTTTGCCTCGCTTGGAACGGCATCAGTTGGCCAAACGGTGACCTGGTTTGTGGGAGCTTGGAATAAGTTTTTGGATAATCCCACGTGGAGGTTCTTCCAGTGAATGAAGATCTCGAGTGCATTTCTCACAGCTCATAGCTGCAGGATAAGAAATAACAGACAGGTACAAATTCTCCCAGCACATCTATGAGTGTGATTGTCTTGGCTCCGGTCTATACCATTCTATAAGTGCCGGACAAAGCCTTGTATCTAGGCCGAAGGACATAGCCTAGAATGGGTTGGCCCCCATCGCTTACAATCGCTCATGCAGGGTAAAGGGCATCGGTAGACGGGTCGGCGATGCAGCTTTTGTTCTGTTTTTCCACGTCCACCCTTTAGTCTTCGCAGATTTTGTTGGATGTATCATGATGTATCTAATTACTGTTCCAGTTGGTCAACTCTCCAGCCAGGAATTCCAAAGCCTTCCAACCAAGGCTGGAAGGCCTTGGATGCACCTGCTCCAAGGCTGTCTGAAGTTTGTCCGATCTCCCTCACTGAGCTCACCTCATCTCGAACGTGGCATGCCATAGCTTGGTAGCTCTGTGCGGTCGCTCTGTGCAGCATCTCTGACAAACCCGAAATGAAGGCTGATCAAGCAGGGCATCTCCAATTTCGATCCGACACGATCTAATTAGCTTCGAAGAAACCTGCTTAATTAGCTTCTATCCGCTTGACCATCCGATGTCTGCTCCGCTTCGATCAACCTTCGCCACTAAAAAACCACTTCGCACGTCGCGCCACTCATCACGCATCCTCCCAGTTTCCGCATGGCTGGAGTCTCGGAGACTTCCGAAAACGGAGGTGATCCGCTCCCCGCGGTGAAGCAGCGAAAACAAACGACGTGCGCAGACTGTAGACTGTGAAATAGAAGCATTTGCCGAAATCGTCAGAAACGCAATATCGTGCCACCGTGCAGTTGATCAGAAGCAACTTACTTGGGGCTATTTGATGCTATGATGACAGACAGAAAATGCTAGGTATGTATAGCAATATATAGCTGCTTCAAAAGGATCACCCGAGAGCAGGACATCCTAGGAGTCCTGCAAGGGGAAGATCTGTGTCCCCTGCGCCCGTTTGGGCCAAATCATAGTTGCGCATGGAAGTTGGATAGATCATAGATCCAACTGAAAGCACGTCTTCCAAACAAGGACAAAGAAAAAAAAACAAGAATCAGGTGTCAGGCTCAGTCTCGACCAGCACTGGCCGTTCTTGAATTGTGGCCGCCATGTGGGCCGTCTGGCGGCCTCAGATGGAATGGTGATGTCGAACCGATGGTGTCCTTGCGGCATGAAGAGTGGTTTAGGCAAACGCCGTCTGTCTGTCTGGTTGATGCGTCCACCTCTTCGACACCAAACTTCGATCCACCTCTTGGGATCCCCGATCCGTGCGGGATTCGGTTTGGGCTTCGGATGGAGTGCCATGAAAGAACGTAGGCTCCGGTCTTCCAAAAGACCTGGCATGAAAGGGTAGTATGCAGCAAATCAGTTGTCAGTTGCTGAGGATGGTGGATCCAATATAAATAACACCCGGAAGCCGCGGCCAAGGTGACGACCCCAGTTCTCACGAGCTACGAAGCGCTTGCCACCTTGTGCCCCGGAAAAACCCACGCAAACCCACCCCCCACAACGCCCACTCCGAACCACGCGTGGCGCCCGGTTGAGGCCGGAACCTCAGGGCGGCACTTCCACCACGTCCACGGCGGGCGCGGCCGGCGCGGCCGCAGCGACGGCCACGACGGGCGCCGGCGTCGGCTTCCTCATCGTCGTCCACTCGGCAAAGACGGACCGCGGCTTCCGCGCCGGGCCGACGGGCTTGAAGCCCATCTTCTCGTAGAAGCCTGGCTGTGGGGCGGAAGGATCAACTCAAGAAAGTGTCCATTGTTTTTAAACATGTTAAAACCATTTCCCAAACAACTTGTCTTATATATATATATAACTTAATTGATTCTATAATTGATTTATTTTGGGATATCTTGGTTGATGTGCTTGAACTCCGGTGGGTCAAAACTTGATTGTCAAGTGGTTTACCAACTTGGGCTAGCCTGGCCAGCCTTGTCCAGCATTTTTTTTTGGCGAGGTCTTGGGCATCGCTCGTCTTCGGTGTGACTTCATCGGAATGGAATTGCGCAGCGAAAACAAAAAAATGGGTGGCCGTGGGAAGCTCAAGCAGCTTACTCTTAAAGTCTAATCGTGAGCAGTAAACAAAATGTTTGATACCAAAAAAGGAACAACACCGGAGTTGCCATGATCTGGACACAAGAAACCCAACAAGGATGAGACTGCAACACCTGCTTTCTCCAAGCTGAACCCACCAAATTCAACTATTTTGGGGGTCTCCTCGACTCCTTCCCATAGGCCCCTTGCATCCCCGAGGCACCGATTGCATTGTTCTTCAACGCCACGTTCAAATACATCCTTAGTCGACACAATGGGAGCTCTGTGTCCTGCGAAGAGTCGTGCGAATGGTTCCGAGCACACCGGCAAACGCGTGGAAGACTCATTTCACCGTACATGAGATTCCAGGGTCTTTCAGTGTTTGCACTTCTTTCGGTTGAACTATGCTCTGGTCAGGGTTTTGAGACAAGAACCACAACCAGTGAATGATGGATTGACCACCCAATCAACGACCTTTCTTGACCTGTTGAATAATGAGGTGGATTTAAAACCGCCCAGTACAAAGTCTTCCCAATACGGGTGACACTGAGGATCTGCAGGATAGTCTCCCTCATCATATATCCTCACCCATCAAACCACCTGAACTAACCCACTGCTGCTTCCACTTTTTCACTCGCTCGTGAAAAACGATTGGAACCAAATTATATCTAATACTATTACCACTGGATATGGAGAAACAAAGCTGGTGTTTGTTCAACCGGTTTTCTCCCAAGGCTCTCTTGAAAATTCCAGCCCCTGGCGCGCGCGGATTGGATGCCGCCCTCAATCAACATCCGCGCTAGACCTTTCCGCTGCATCTCACGTTGCACCTGGCGGCGTGCAGCGACATGGAGGTCTGGTTTCACCCGACCGCGACATGGGGGTGTTCATAACACTGGTTTCTGTTTCGAATAGAGGATCTATCTATCGACCAAGATTGCTACATGATTATGTGAAGATCTCCACCCGCATTGCTACTGACAAGGTATCGGCCAATATCTCTATATAATTTGATTGCAGTTGTGTATCTTGTGTACGCAGCTCAGACCACAACGATCCAGATGCAGATGCAGCGATCACAACGATTGGTTGTCCCGCCATACCACCATCCCACTGGTGGTAAGTAGATGCATACTGGGCATACTGATCCGGGGCCATGGATTTTCAGGGCATCCCCCATGCTTGCAGCGGCTGCTTGGCATCCGTCTTCGTTTCGGGTGCGACGGGCTCTCGCACAGCTGGCGAGCCGCGACACATCAGCCGTTTTACGTTCATGCCAATTGGGGTCCTTGATTGACGTTCATTCCCTCAATTCACATCATGTTGTCAAAAGATTGCAATCACAAGACACCAAGAGTTAAGACATGTTAAGAAGGTCAGTCCAGTTCTCACCCACCGAAACCCACCGCTCGCCCTCCGCGGTCTACCCTGCTACGGGCCATCCACCGATGCACCTTCAAATAGCAGACCTCCATGGCTGGCTCCTCCAATCGCAGGTGGATATAACCGTGGATCTCTCGAAAAGCCTTGTCGACCGCCACGAGAAGCACGTCTGAGAACTTTTCGGGCTTCAGGAGGTTCCAAATGATCCTGGGCTCCGTGCGGTTCTCGCTCCGTGCGGTGTTTTCCCTTTTTGGCATTTGATTTGCGGCATTAAGCACCTGCAAGAAGCCTTCCAGCACAAGAGAAAACGAACTGAACTTGAGAATGAGGCAAATGGTGAATTCTCGCGAGAAGCATACTGGTGTTTGCCAGCTGGGCTCATACGACCATAGGATGTACATGACCTCAAACAACTACTGGTGTGCTTCGCTTCGGATGGGCTGAAGGCTTCAGGCTTAAAACGTCGGACATCACGTGAAGTCATACGACTAAGTCATCTCGTCGTCCAGGGATTCCGACCAAATGGAGAGTCTCCCTGGAGAAGAGCATCTGAATCTGGACCACTGCATTTTAGTGTGGTGGCTTTCCTGTTGCTTGCTGGACTGTACCTATGTTCGTTCTACTGCAAGATGAAAAAGTATTGTTTTTTTAAAGTAAGGATTTCAGTCAGTGTCACAAGTCGCTGAAGTTATCTGAAGTCAAGAGCTTTCTGGTTGCAAAAATATCCGGAGGTTGAAGATGTACTGTCTTGGGTATTGACAATATGGGCATGGATCGCTTTGCTACCATGATCGGATGGTAGCGTGTTATTCAATGGCAGAACACATGTTCTTTTGGGTCATTGACATGATGAATTGTTTTTCTTCAATGTACACTGGCTGGAAACTGAAGAAAGGATAGAAAAGGGCCATTGTCCAACAGTGTGCAACGATTGGGTTTTTTTTGGTATTCCGGGAGTTTTTCCATCAAACCTCTGAACAAAGGGCCACTCTCCATCTCATGTAAGCCGTGCTCAGTTCGTGCTACGAACGTCTTGCAAGTTCTCCCTAGTTCGAATTTAGGTGTTCTGTTTGATCCCTACTAAAGAAAGGAGTGTTTTTCTCCCCATCAAAATCCGAAACGAAAAACGACTTCTGACGGAGAGTGTTTCCAGCTCACCAGGTGCCAAGGATCTTGTGAGCGTCTGGCCTTGCGCAGCACGTGGAGAGACTGGAAACACCACATCGAGAGGTGTTTAGGATTTCGGGTTTCCAAGGGCAGATGCTGAAGGCCGCAAAAGTGTCTCTCAGAATTGATTCTTAAACACCACAAAATCACATGATCATATACATGATCCCAAGTCGGAATGGCCCCGCAGGGTCCAGGCGAATGTTTACTTCGGAGAAGTGTTGTGCAGCTTGAGAGCCAACTTTTTGGGCAGGAAACCATCTACCCGGCAAAGATTTGCTGGGTATTTGGTTACGTATGGAGCAGGCAAGTAGAGCATCGGATGCCACCCAACCTCTCGAAATTGCCACAGTCAACGCAGTGAAGCGACACTAGACTGTGCATTCCATTTTTTAGGTATGAGCATGTATGAGCGACACCCAAACGGAGGTTAAAGCAGTGGGCTCTTCGGATCCCGCTAGTTCAAAGGGATCGTGGGCATCCTCCCTGGCTCTTTGAGGTTGCACCCCTAAAATGGTCCCAAGTCTAAGACAAAACACCCAAGATCCAGCCAGCGACCTGCACACGCATCCCCTTGCTTTGTTCGATCCACTAAGCTTGTCATGGTCTCAGCTCCGCTTCGTCTTCACCGCTCAGCACTCCGCTCGGGACCCGGGCTCGTTGACGGGCACGCCGCTGAAGTCCGCCCACTCGTCGGGCGACATGGCGCGGCAGAGCTCGTACCCGGCGAGGTAGTCGGCGTGGTCTAACAGGAACTCCTTGGGGCGAACGAACGACGCGTCGTTCGGTGTACCGGTGGAACCTGTGGAGCTGAAGGTGGGCGGTCGAGTCGATGAACTGAACGGTGCAAGAAAACGGGGTGGTTTTGAGCATGAGTTGATGAGAGGAAAAACAAGTCCTTTCCAGGGGTGTCAGACTGGTGGAAGAACGATCTCCATGCAATTCACAACATTGGTGCACGGGCGTTCCTCATCTCGGGCGGTGCATGAGTTCTTCCTTGAACTACTCAAGCCTCAGGGACACCAGTTTGCCCAGCAAGGTTCTATCGTCGACCTTCTACACCATCCCACAACCACGAAGTGTCCCAGCTCTGAGCCATTCCAGGTAGCTTGGCCGAGCTTGGCTGTACATAGCTTGTTCTGTGTTTGCAACGGTCACTCATCTTGACAAGTCCTAAAATTTAAAATTGCCTCAATGCCTTTGCCTTTGAACGCTGGCCATTAAACATGTTACCAATGACAACCCGGGTACGCGGCAATATGGAGCATGTCAAAAACCAATTGACATGAGACTAACTGGCCAAATTGTTACAAAGCCTCACATTACATATTATAGATGTATTCTGTATTATGTCTTCGTTCTTCAGGATGATTGATTGGACAGCAATTTCACAGAAGAAATCTGATCTTCTATCCGATTCTATCCCTCACAGCTCACCCAAACAATTTGGTTCCAAAAACCAAACACTCACTTTTGAATTGGACGTACTCCCCCGCAAACTAACATAGAACCTGAGAACTGACCTGTGGAAGACCATTTTCCTCTACAACCCAGTGGTTTGGGGTTCCATGTTAATCTGCAGTGGAGTAGTTTTGTTTGAGAATCACCTTTCATGGATACGGCAGATAGATCAATGCTGTCGATGAGGATCACTACACTCCTTGAATAATACTGGAAGTGGAAAACCACCTGTTTGTCAGAGGATGTCATGGTCCAAGGGACCATTCTCCACTTCCGTGCATGATTATTTCAAGGAGAGTAGTTCTAGTTCTGGTTCTAGATTCTAGATTCTAGATTCTAGTTCTAGTTCTTCTTCTTCTTCTTCTTGTTGGAGCTTGGAAACGATCAACACTCCAAACAGGGAAACCTACAAACGGCATCTCTGCCGGTCAATGCATGGGAAAAAAAAACACGATCTTTCGGATGCTGAAGATTCAGGGCCTCACGTATGTGTGCTCCAAGGACGCTACAAACGTAGCTCCTGGCCTTACTACTAGTAACAAGAAGCTACGAACGGAGCCAAGGGCATCGCTACGAACGGAGCAGGGACGCTGCTAGTTGCCCCTTGTGAAACTTAGTACTCCTCAAATCCCAACTCCCTCCCCCCTGTGCCAACCCTGTTCAAACCGGAGGTTAAAACTGACCATCCCTCATGACCCCATGTCACCGTTCCAAAAAGGGTCTGAGTCACTGGAGCATTCCCCCTGGCCAACTTACTTCGCACTCGAATGCGCCAAGCATCCCTCTCAAGCACTCGAATTCGTGGTGTAGCTTCGGGTGGTGGGACGACCACTTCATACTCATTGTTGGAAGCCCAGACCTGCCAAGCTGGCCCCAGCTCGCTGGCCCCAGCTTGGTGGCTAGAAAGCAAGGTGGTTTCGGGGTGGGTGAATCGGAAGACCTCTTCATGTCCACATCACATGGTCCATCTCCATGTAGGTTTGGAGATGGTTCAAGGAGCAAACCACCTTGCAAGATTCTCTATGCATACAACTAGTCTGATTCTCAGGTGGTTGCGGATGCTAGACATTCGACAGCAGGTGTTTCAATTCCCACCACGTCGGTGACCTGGACCAGGTCCTTCACAAGAAGAGCATCCGCGCGGGTGAAACGTGAAACACGTGTGTGTTTGTGGTGATGGTTCTCTGAAGAAACTGGATCAACCATCAAAACAAAGATCAAAACAAACACACACGTGTTTCACCCACAGTAGATATAGCCCGAGATAGTAGGATCAAAGACCTGGGGTCGTGCGGTCCGAGCGATGGCGTCGCTCTGGGCCGCGCCTGACAGTTCTTGGGAACTGTGTCATCTGGAACGTCCTCATCTAGGAAGGCCCACTCACGCATGACCTGGAGAGAATAGAGGGTCGTGCGTGCGTGTTGACCCAACCCCAGCGGTGTGGTACAGTTTCGGAGCGAGGCTTCACTGCTGCGAGAAATCTGGAAAGTATAGACTGTATAGACTCTCAAAACCATGCTTTTAATCGATGCTCCTCTCAACCATCCTGAGACGAATACTCCGAACATCATGCTCGTCTCATCATCTTCCTTGACGTTGAACCCACTCTGAAATGATGCCTCAAGTGTGACACCATCGCAACAATGGGTCAGGGGGGCGTACGACAGCCGACCCATTTCATCCCACCTGCCCTTCTGTCTCCCCAATCTCAACAAATCATCTTAAGATCCATATATTAAGTACAACACAATTTTACTATACGTATTTATATATTACACATAATATAACCCATGAAATCCTTTCTCATCTTCTCCCAGATCCTCCTCCAATCCAGCCCACCCCACGCCGTCCACCCCCCCTCCGGCCTCTGGGCCCTGGCAGCGATACGCCAAGTCCCCGCGGAAACGCTTCCAGAGCGCCGTGGAGTCCTCGCGCTCGAGGCGCCGGCGCTTGGGCGAGGGCGTCTCCGGTTGGTTCTTGCGCTTGGCGATGAAGGCCTGGCGATGGCACGGGGGGTTGGGGGTTTTCAAGCGTGGGTGGGTGTAACCAGGGAGCTGATGGTAGGCTGAAGGAATCAAAAGAATATGAGGAAAACAGATGAACATAGACATCTTATGACATCTCTAGTAGTAATTACGATGAAGAGCTGGATTCCAAGGACTCTCTGAGACTCTTTTCTCAGCTCTGGCAAGGTGCTTCCAGCTGACCAAAACCTCTTCGTTTCTGACCCCACCTTGCGGAAGATGGGGTTGCCAAAGAAGGGCGGCCGACGGCCATGAAGGTCCTCCGGCCGGTGCATCGGAGGTTCCGTGGCTCCACATGGCGTATCAGAACTATGCCGTTCTTTGGGGCGGGGTCGGCCGCTAGAAGAGGTAAGAAGAGGTAGGGAACGAAGAGTAGCTACTAGTAAGCTACTTGGGACGCAGGATAGGGCGGCGGGGGAGCTTCCTTGAAGAAGCGCGCGCACTGTTCATTTGGTTCCTAGATTTGAGGGACAGGGAAACTTAACTTGTTAAAACCTTTTGTCTCACAAGACAAAGGAAACCCAGAAGATCAGGTTGTATCGACCGGACGACACACGAGGCGACCGGCGGGAGTGCGAAGACCGGTGTGCCGTTAAGCGAAAATGCCTCGCCCACGACCGGTGGGCCGTTTTGCTTCGGGGTTTCTCGGCACAAGGAGTTTGTCTTGAAAGAAACATTGAAGAACCTAAATGAGCTGGGAACATTCGTACAGTTGGGAAACCATCCAGGGCCTGGGTCATTCTAGAAACATAAAGAAATCAAATACTCCACAAAGTTCGTGCGAACACCCAATCCGGTTGGTCAACTGGATGCATGCCACTTCATGCCAATCTCCATCTTTTTTGAGACCGTCTAGCAGAGTCTTCCTTTAACCTCCCACCAACTACGTGCTTCGCATGAGCTAGTTCCCAAGGCCTATAGTGCAACGGACTAGTTTTGGATTGGAGTAGTGTTAATTAACATTCCAGAAGTAGTTGTATACCAACAAGAAAGCTGCACACCCTCACGCACCCAATCCAAGACCAACTCCAATCTGAAACACATCCCAGCATTTCTTGTCTGTCCAAACAAGCAACATCCCAGCATTTCAAGGCCCCGGAAAGAGAAAAGAGCCGATTTCCACGCCAAACGATCGATGAATATCGATCCGCCGGAATGACGGGTCTGACGGATCCTTTGGGTGCATGGAGGCGCCAAGTTCATTGGTGAGCTTCAGGACCATCTCCATTTGACTGTGCCTGACTGAAACTCCGAGCGCCGAGAAACTCGGGCCCATGGGTCCAAGGCCGAAAACCACATTTGTTCACAACCGCTTCGGGTAAATGGCTAAGGCAAAAGGATCAAGGACTTTTCACAGTGGTTTCTGCCTACTGCCCCATGTCCCTTTGCTCCTCTCAGTGCTGTGGCAGGCACCCAGCTTTCGGAAAATTCAAGTGCCGTCTCACTTCGGCCCACCGTGTTTCCGTTCGAAAAAAGGCCGCGCGCGGACGACGGTCCGAAAGAGAACGTTTTCGGACTCCCGAGAGCCGCACCTGAAGGCGATACAGAGAGGCGTTTGTCCTCTCAAGTCCGAGTGGTTCACGTGGCAGCCCTGCGAGATCAGCCATGAAGCACATTGGAGGTTGCCCTCCTGACGGACGGACGAAGGACGAGGAAAGCAGGAGTGAGTCATGGTGCGCAATGCGCGTTGGTTTCAGAGCCCCAAAAGAGAACAAAGAGGGAACTTGGAAGGTCGTGAACCTAGAGGGAGACTGTATCTGCTCGATTGTTCCTTTGTTTGGCAAGTGTGGAAGCTTGGATGAAGGCCCGGAAGTCCAGCGAATGCAAAAGGCCATTGCTTCAGGGTCTCAGTCAAAGATTCAACTACTTTCCAGCTTGTCGCCTTTCAGGGCCTGTTCTCATCATACGAGTGTTCGGTTGAGATGGTCTGTACCACAAAACTGTGTCTCTGGCCTGGGCAGCAGCGAAGAGAGGGGTCTGATCCTCAGTGAGTCAAGGCCCCAAAAAATGCCACGAGACCGCGCGAGGAAGATGTTTGCAGCACTTGTGCAGCATGAGAGAATGTCGTGTACACGATACAATACCGCATAATACCGTCGAATTACAATAAATGACATGGTTTTCCCGAGGGAAAGGTGCGCCCCTCGGCAAGTGATGTGGCCATCCAAAACCTCCACAGTTCCACTTGAAAGCTAGCAGTAAAGAACAATCTTCTGGTGAGTTCTGTTGGGTGCAGGATTGCCAGTTGGCTCGGGAAACGTCAGCCCAGTTCAACAGTTGGACTACCAAGACCAAGTTCGAGTCTGTTTTTTGCGGATCCATACGAGGAACCTCTCAGGAGTCTGAAGTGCCATCTATCAAAATTCTACCTGTCCTAAATGAAGCAATTGAGCTGTTACTCCATCCAAACATGCCAGCAACTAGACTCTAGACCTAGCAAGGACTACATTGGACTGTGGTCACCCATCTCCTTCTCGAATCAGATCAATGAGAAGAACACCTCCCAAAGCCTCTCCAGAACCATCCAACCAGAACCATCCCATCCTTTCCCTCCTTTCCATCCTTTCCATCCTCCCCATCCCCCCACCATAACCCATCCCCATGTGCCGAGGCACATACACATCGCGAGCCGAGGGATCCAGTCCTCGGGCCTCTAAGACCTGGCAAATCTCCTCGGCGCCGCCCTTGCTGCTCGGCCGCCCCGCCGCGGCGAACATCAGCGTCTGCCCATGCTGGTTCAGCACCTGCCCCCAACCGGAAGGAGGACGCGAGCAGAGGGCCGCATGCTGCTCATGGCGTTTGGTGAAGTGTGGAGGGTGGAGGTGGGAGTTGGGATGGTTGGGTGGAATTAGACCTGACCAAAAGCCTCGGTTGGTAAAGGAGATTGGTGGCAACCAACACTCTACGCCTCCTAGAGGTCAATTTGAGATGTCAATTGAAATCACCTCCATCAGTAGGGCGACATGTACCACCCCCTTTTCTCGCGCAGCCATGATGTTCACCCGTTCCATGATGTTCCCATCAGCCTGCCTCCAGATTGGCTTCCCGCGCAACTTCGAGGGCCTTCTTCTTTGAGGCCGAATTAACCAAAGTGAAGTCGTCCTGGAAATTGGTGGTCAGTCTGCCAGTCAATACCGTACATTAAGGTTGCTTGAATTGAAGTATTCATGGTTCCAGATCCAAAAATAACGTGTCTTCGCCATAGATGTCCCTTTTCATAGATGTCCATTTGCCTACCATGGATTGGATGCTTAGGGTCGGGTCAATTTAAGATGCATATGGAATGTGCTGGAGTGAGTGCTATCCCACTTTGTTCCGCCTTCCTCATCAGTCCGCCCACAGGTGTCTGTGTTGTACAGATTCAATTCGTGCCACAATAAGCCCTTCAGCCCTGCTTTTGGGTTCAAAGCTCTATTTAGGGTGGCTCATGGCTTGAGACATGGATCACCACGTACATGGTCCATAATACTGGGGTTTTCATCTAGATGAGAGCTCCTGATGGAAGCGAGGGATATATATAACTTGGACATCCATCTCTGTAAGTCAGCGGATTGCAAGTCGCTCATCTCTGAGGTTCTTGGAGTGGCCAGTGAATACATCCACTTCCTGTACTCTGATAGACTGATAGCAAGCTGGGCCTCAAGTCTCCCTCCCACACACCTGTACTGCAGTGTAGCTATACCATACCTTGGCCGGTGACCAGCTCCTCCTTTGCTTAGCAGGATTGGAGAAAAAAACTGCACAGACAAAAAAAACTGACCACAGACCCATCACCGCAGCGCAAAAAGTGGCTAAGGTGAGTCGGGATGCCCTTGAAACAGCTCCAAACAGGAAGTCCCAAGAGATTGAGCCCTCCCGCATACAAAGACGATAGACTCCGATAGACATGTTAATCATGTTAAACATTAACAAAAAAATAACTATCATTAGTCAAACAATTTCAAACAACAATATGTGCTATATCATATGCACAATATGACATTAATTCGCCTTCAACACCAACTCTGCACATCCCCAGCTCTGCCAGCTCGCGTGGTCCTTCATCACCATCGCCCGCCCCCGTGCCCCCAACTTCGTCATCGGCCACCCACACCGCGGTGCCCCAGTCGCTCCGATCGAGCCATGAAGGTCGGCCAGATTCGGTGGTCGGGTCAGGGGGTGGTTCAGAGCATTTCGGGTTCAGGTTTGAGAACTTGTTTGGTCAGGGCTCAAGATCTTTGCCGAAGATCTCAGAGATCTTTGTTTCAGAGGGCAAAGGATCAGATTAGATTAGATTTGTGGGGAGTTCTGAGTTCAGGGGGGCTGAATGAGATCGATTCAAGAAAGCGGACTGAGTACTGCAGGGACAGAAAAAAGTACGTGTCTTCCGTGTCTTGATCGGGTACAGTAACGTGGAAAAGCCATCCTTCTATTGGAGGTTCAAGCCCAAAGCAGGTGGACAACAGCCCTGGGTGGAATGGGCCGCTGTTAACTACAAGTTCTTGCAATTTCCAGCTGAGAACAATGGAGCTCCTGATGCTCCTGGGGGAAACCGAGCAGCGCTGAGAACCATCCACTCCATGAACCGAGATCGTCTGAGAAGGTCTCCGAACCAACCACCCGTTGCCACCCGTTGCCACCCGTTGCCACCGTTCGATCCGCATCTGCATTGCTCCTGTGGCCTCCGGACGGGCTGTCAAAGAGATAGGCGAAGCGGCTCTCCAAGCCTCGTGGCGACACGCGACGCACCGACACGCGACGCACCAGCTGGCGATGCACGTGAACATCGGGACGGGGACGGGAGCTGAAGGGAAGAGCTGTGGTTTTTAGGGGAGCTTTAAGTGGATGTATGTCTGTATACATGAACATGAAAAACCAACACCTCGTCAATCCTTAGATGCCTGGAGATCTTGTTTGAAGCACCTGAGAAGTCAGTCTAATCGAAGTCAGTCTATAAAACTCCGTCCCATCACCGACCTGAAACCACCTTCCCATCCTCCCCGGACAACACCGCTCTCACCGGTGCCGCGCCTACTGGGTAGAGAGCGCCCTCGTCCAGTGAGGCTGGCATCGAACCCTGCGTCCGGGTGCATCGACGAACGTGTTTCAACGGGGATGCCGTGGATTTGGAGTGACCCCCCCCCCAAAGAAAACATGGGGGGCCAAGTCCTCTACGCTCTCTTCGGTGTGCAGATCTTGTCAAGATCGCAGGTTGAAATGGGAACGTCTGCCCGCTGCTGTGCTATTGAAGCGCCCCTTAAAAGAAGTGGTCGGCTGGCGCAAATCAGTGTCTTAACCTGAAGGACTCCACGAATGATTCAAGGACAAAACATCCCATCTCCAGTTGACCTCCAACCAGGTGTTTGTATCTGGATTTTAGCGCTCTCCACTCAAAGTCTTGCACCATAAACATCAGTCAGATGCGGGGATCTCAGATCCCTGTAGTGATCACCACATCCGAGCTTGAACGCCCCTATTACCAAGTATAAATATATATATATATAATATGTGTCACATCACAGCCTCTGATTAAACTTCATGTCACGTCACAGCCCCTCTCCAATTAGTTTTGTACAAAACTGTTTAGAGTTTAGTCGAGGGCGGAGGGGGTAGCTTCGCTCGGTTCTTTCAAAGGCTTGCAAGGGAGTCCATGCTGTTCCACAGCCGGCACTGGGTGGGTACCCTGCCAATGTCGTGTTCCTAGTTCCCGCCGAATCCACACGCTGCATTACGCCCCTCTTCTCCACAACTTCAAGCACATCACAAGCTGTCGGATGGGCACAAGTCCCGGTCGCAATTGGTTGCTTCCAGGAGCAGTGAATTTAATGCAGAAAACATCAGGCGAATTTTGCGTGGCAGCAAGGTGGCAATCTCTGAACTCTTGAGCTTTGAGAGATCTTCTCAGCGGAATGTCAATGTCATCATATGTCACCTATGAAGCTCAGATGGGTTTGGCCTTTTGATGAATTTGTAAATTCTAAAGCGACTAGTAGCAAGGACGCTATTAGGTGGAGGCCATCGCAAGTAGGTTGGAGGCCATCGCTACTATATAGAAACAAGAAGCTAAGACTTTGGGCCTCTGAAAACGGGTGCCACGCTCGCCAAACTGCGCAGTGACCATGCACGCGAGCAGTGACCAAAGCAACCAGCTCCCGGGCGTGGAAGAAGGACTGTTCCACGGGTGTCGGTCGCTGTTGGATCACTGTTGGATCGCCTAAACAACTACACTCGACGGGGGTTGTGAGGCAGGGAAGGTGCTTATGTCGGATTCGTGGAATAGAGCTCTCTTCGCAACGAGAAACCACATGAAGGCGCACGTTGATCTTCAATGTGACGGACATTCTTTCTGTCTTGGTGGGGCACCCCTTGGCCCGTAATAACCATCCAAATCAGATGGTCTTGTATAATCATCTTGACAATGGTTCCTCTCAAAGATTTGAACACTCGACTGCTACCAATTTAGGGTCACACGATGACTTTGTACAAACTGCCACGACCATTCTGTGACTTCCAACGTCTGAGCAAGTTCTCATCACTCGCGGCGTGCCTTTGAACCACCTTATCCAGCACCCACCCACCCTACAACCCATCTTTGCCAGAGCACGAACCTCAGCACCCTCAAGTGGTTCACCTGCTCAGGCAACTTCCTGGCGTCCGTCGACCGTGCATTTTCCCGATCAAACAGAGGTGCGGTCGTTTCGTGCAACAGCTGGTTAAGACCCCGCTCGGCGACCAATCACACCCCTCTGCTGCGATGTCCCGAAACTCTTCTGAGACGTTATAAGTTCAGAGGTTGAAAAACTCACAGAATGAGACGTTATAAAACCAGTTGGTGAGGTTATGACGTTATAACTTATAACTTACACCTTGGTGTCTCCAGAGCTTGAACAACTCACACCGTCCCTCTTCGTCTCTCTTCGTCTCTCGTCGTGGCTTTTTCTTGTTGAGACCTCAGAGTGTTGAGTCGGGTCCGTTTTTGGAAAAACACCATGCAGTCACGAATCACCAGTGTCACGAACAGTCACGAATCACCTGGAAGACATGGGAGTTCGACACCGAAAAACATGTCGACCTTGAACAGAGTCGGACATCGAGTGGTTGAACAAAAATCTTTGGATTTCTCCAGTAGGCTCTAGCCACAACCGTCTAAGCTGTGAAAATCTCCAAACCAGGATCACTTGACTTTAACAGTTCACTTGCCCAAGGGTTCATTGTGGAATCTAAAAATTAGCTGGGCTGGAGTACTGAAGCATTTTGGAAATATGTAGCTCACATATAGTTGTCAATGACATTCCAGAGCCCTCCCACAAACCCCTCCTGCAGATCCTCAAGGGAGTTGCAGGCCAAAAATTACCTAAGCTCGCCGCTCGCCACGTTCTGGCCGCCACTTCGATGGATGCGCACCCACATAACGGCCTGTTACCCTCATCCCCTCAAGAGAAGCTGGAAAGAACATGGTCACAAATGAGGTGTTCTATGCCCATCTGTGAACCCCAAGTACCGATCCAAAAGAACAGACGAACCCGTTTGTCACCAGATCCCGAGGGTCAACAAAGAAGCAGACAGACCCAGGTGAGTGATTAGCTGTGCGCGGAATCAAGGATCTTGAGGGATATGCATCACACTCCTTCGAATCAGCATGGTTACGTGGAGTTCACCACCTGCAGTGGTATTCGGATGATTCAGGGTCATCCGAACGAAAGGGTCCATGCCATCCACTTCCATTGATGATTCCAGGGAGTGTAGGATCTATGGACATGTCTTAATCTGTATTATATATTCATACTAATTATATAGGAGTGTTGGGCATGTTGGGTAGTTCGTTTAGAGCGTCAACATGTCTTCGACATCCCTTTCATGATCCAACCGGTTTGTCACGACAGTCGCCAGGCATGCCATGCCGACCGGTCTTGCCAGGCTGCACGCTTTTGTCCCATGAGCTTTGGTGGCTCCCAGGTCGATTGGCTGCTCTCCTTCCATCGAAAATACCTGCAGGTCTACTTGGCGACCGGTCGGGATGGAGTCTATAGGTCCGTGCCGGAGACTGGGCCGTCGCAAGACGACCGTGGCGGATGTCTGAATCAGCACGACGGGCCGGCGACATCGACATGTGGTGCACGTCTGGGTCTCCAAACACCCCAAAACATGGGGCACTTGAAAGGCCGTTTTGTTGAACAGTTGAGTTCTCAACACCACATTCCGGAATTGCATCCAAAAAGGTGGGTTCACCCATGCTTCTTTTCTTAAGTGTTCTTAGGGTTCCGTGCACTTGTTTCACAGTCAGTCTTGTGATTACTTTTTGAGTTGCTGGAGTGTATCAGCACCATCCAGCAACAGCACGGACAGGGATCAAAGAATGGTTTGGACTACAAAGCCTTGTCTCACATCCAATTGACCTCTTCCCTGTCTATCCACAATTCCCTTGTCTAAATGCTAATGCATTCCGAAACACCCACACTTCAACCCGCCGATGGCAGTGAAGCATGGCTGCAAATACCTGGGTGGCCATCTTGGTCCCGTGTGTCGATCCTTCAGAGATGATAGACAACCCTAGAAGGAAAATGCCCCGCATACCCACATATGTAGTGATACTTATATGTGTCTCCAACTCATTCCAACCCGAATAATTGTATGGGTCCTTGATCAATAACATGATTTCCAACTACTACTATCCAATCCTGAAGCAGCAAGAATATGTCCCGTCCTAGTTTTTGTTGATCCGACCAAATTCCTGTACGTGGGAATCATACGTTGGGTTTTGCTCATGTTTCCTGTATCAAGTCTCAACCAGCATTAGTTTCTGGCCGTGGCTTCTTTCCCTCTAAGTGAAATGAAACCAATTACTGTAAGTTTGGCGATTGATACCGCTCTGCTTGTCAACCCGCCCGCACATTGACATAGCCCCCACCATTGCACTGTAGTGTTTCTCGTCAAAATCATGACCTTTCTTATTATTGTCTGTGGTCGCCACTCCTACTCACCCCGCCCCAACTTCAAAAATGAGCAAAAGGTTGATCGTGCCAGTGATGCACAAAATTTATGGCTAGAGGGACCTGGGGATGGTCAGGGGAGGTCGCCCCCCATCACGTTGTGCCATCTGAAGCAACAAGCACAGGTTTGGTCCAATCCTCATGAATGCAGTATCCTCCCTCTTCAACCAACACCTGAGGAATCCTCGGCGTCAGCTGCTGCGCTGCCCTGGGCCGAGCGGCACCTTCCGGACCAGCTCCAAGGGCTGCTCACCACCGACCACGAAGACCACCGCTTGGCCTGACGCAGTCGGCACAAGCGGGACAAGAAGTGGGGAAATTGTGGAGACCAGGTGGGTTTCCTGTAACTCCCGGCTTGGAGCGCGTTTTAGTTTGTTGAGATACATGGACATGGAAAATCATTTCAAAATCAAAACATCATCTCAGCAAAGTGTCTTGCAACGTTTTTCTGGTCTTTTGCTTGTGGTTGCTACCATTGCACATTTCTGAACAGTTGAAAAGCACCTCTGCGAAAGCGCGAGGTGAGTTGACATATTGAATGTCGACCTGGCTTCAACAAATATGCTGTCTACCTAAGGTCTACCTACCTTGTTTTCACGCCTGCGCTGTCAGATTATGGGATCACTTTTACGGATTGATTTCAGCTTTTGACTTCCAATGTTGGGCAGTTTGAACTGCATGTTCCAAGAGGTGTATTCATGTTCTGTTTGCACATGTCACCTCTTTAAAAGAAATATGCATGCCTGTGTTCAAAAATTTTGCTCTTCCAGCTTCACTTCCAACCCTTTGGCTGTCATTTCCAAACCCCTCGGATGTCATTCCCAAGCCTTTGGGATGTCATTCCCAAGCCCTTTCGATGTCATTTGCAAGGATTTCAAGCCCAAATCTTTTGGATTTCACTTCCTCAATCCCATTGGCTTTAGTTTCCCAAGTGGGGGAGAAGTGGAAAATTGTCCGCAGCTTGCTCATGAAGAGGCCCATGTCCTCAGAAGCGATCAGGTTGCATCCAATTTGTGACAGTGTGGGACTTTGGAGGTCACCAAGCTCAGTGTTGGCCGTCAAGCCCGGATCAACATGACCAGCAAAAACCAGCGAACTTTGAACTGAGGAGCGGCATCATCCTCCAGCTTCAAGGTCATCACATATACCGAGCCTACTCCCCATGGTTCGGTGACTGAGGTGGTTACGGACATCATCGGCTTCAGCGCCCACACCACTCGGCCGGCATGTTTCGGTTCAATGGCAGGCCACTCGAAGCCTTTAGCTTCATCAACCTTTTTTCCCGAAAGCACCTGCGAAGGGTTTTTCCTTAAGCACTGCTGCCTATTTCATCTTCCTTAATCTCTTTCTCTTACTTCATCTTCCCCACTCTCTCTTCCTTACTCTCTTTCTCTTACTTCATCTTCCCCACTCTCTCTTCCTGACTCTCTTTATCCTACTTCACCTTCCTTACTTCATATTCTTTACTAACTTTCTCCTACTTCACCCTCACAACATCATCATCTAATCATCACCTCATAGGTTATTAATCTCATATCATATCATATTATATCATATCAGGTTATAATATCATATCACATCACATCAATGTCATAACATATCATATCATATCATGTTTTAATATCATATCACATCACATCAATGTCAGATCATATCATCTCATATCATGTGATAAAATAATATCACATCACAACATAACATATGAAGTAGAAGTATCAGATCAACAATATCAAAGTACATCAGAAGTAGATATTGATAGGTAGGTATTGATAAGTGGGTATAGACAGGTAGGTGTAGGTAGGTAGGTGTAGATAGGTAGGTGAAGATAGGTAGGTGAAGATAGGTAGGTGTAGACATCTTCCTTAAGACACCTACCCAACTTCACCTACCCAACTTCTTCTTTATTCTTCTCTTTAGGCGGCGGGGCGGTGCGAGCAGGTCTTACGAAACGCAACCCTCTCGTGGAATCGTGGCCATCGATCGCGCGCGCGTGTGGTGAGACGCGAATCGCGTTTGTCCGTGAGCAACCCTCTGCGGAGATCGTGCGTGTCGATCGCGCGAACGTGTGGTGAAACGTACATTTTTGGTGTGCGCGGTGCGTTCCGCCATTATAATTCTGGTGACAAGGTTTTGTCGATTTTGCGTTTCCCCATTGTAATTCTGGTTTCAAGGTTTGCCCTCGAGCAACCCTCTGCGGAGATCGTGCGCGTCGAGTGCACGAACGTGTGGTGAAACGTACATTTTGTCTGAGCGCGGCTGGGCGCACCATTATAATTCTGGTCACAAGGATGTCGCCAATGTGCGGTCCGGACCGCATACTCATTGGGAAATGCGATTCCAAGGTCTGTGCCCGGTCTGTGCCCGGATCGTTCCCCCATTATAGTTCTGGTCGCAATGATGTCGTGAATGTCACCTCTGAACTTTCTACAATGCGCGCTCTGGACGTCATACTCGTTGGGAACCGCGATTTCATGGTTTGTGCTCGGATCGTTTCCCCATTGTAATTCTGGTCACAACGATGTCTCCAATGTGTGCTGTGGACTTCATACTCGTTGGGAAATGCGATTTCATGGTCTGTGCCC